GTGTGTGTGTGTGTGTGTGTGTGTGTGTGTGTGTGTGAAAACTAATAGTAAAAATTGTACATATATATATATATTTATATATATATATATAATTAATATAACAATATATATAATATATAAATAAAATGGCAAAATATTAAATCTTCAAACTATATAATTTTATAAATACGGGGTTTCACAAAAACCCCACACCTGCTAAACATGTGGTTAAGTTGCAGACAATATCGATGTTGCTAGTAGTGGACCAAGAGTTTATCCATATGGGAGCAAATATTCTATATTCACTGCATTACTTCATTTTCTCCAACATGTGGGAGCAAATATTCCGGTCTCCAATGACAATGCGCCACGTGGATAAGAAGAATATCCCCTAGGTTAATTAATTGAGCCCATTTATTTGGTCAATTAATTAATACTAAAAATAAGAATAATATCTTAAATAAGGGATATTATCTTTATTTAATAAGATAATATCACCAATTTAGATATTATCCCAATTTGGAGATATCATCATCAAATTAGGAGATTTGATTGGGATGAACTCAATCTCTACAATTTGGGGAAAGATAATACATGGCTTCATTCAACACTCAAGGTAATCCAATTTCTACCCGAGAAACCCTACACACACACACACACACACATACTCTCTCTCTCTCTCTCTCTCTCTCTTCATTTTTGTCTCTTCATGCGGCTCGGGGCCACCACACACGGCTCATGCCACCCGGTTCTCACCATAGAGAAAACTTCGTACCCTTTTTTAGCTAACTTAGGTATCGATGAGCCTTTGGCCAACACCTCCTGGGTGTGGTCTATTTACTCTAGTCATTTTTACAGGAATCGAGAAAGAGAGAGAATGAAATTCAAAGGTTGAAGGATCTTCAAGTGGATATTCTCCCACAATAATATTTTCACAAACACAACATAATAATGAAGAAAAATGTGCATTGAGAGAAATAGGGACAAGGCAAAAAGGAGAAAGAGTGGCCAAGGGCAAGGGAATTGGGAGTCAAACATAGTGGAAGTGAGAGCAATTTGATAGAAATTGAAATGTGTAAGTCCTTGAAGTGCTCCGAATTGAAAACTAAAAGGATAAAATTGACAAAAATCTTTAAACTATGGGGACAAAAATGATAAACCATCAAACTACAAGAACAAGAAATGACTTTCTTTTTTCCTAAGCCTTTTAATCTCTTTGCATTTCATTTGTTGGTCTTCTGACTTGTATGCTGAACTGAACGACTTGTTTCGTGATTATTTTTGTGGTAGTGGTTTGGGTGTTGCAGCACAGATAACATTAAAATACCCAAGTCAAGGTCAAGCTCCGTGAGCATGCATGATTCTATCAACGCGTAATGGACGCAGAGAGACAGAGAGGAGGAAGGGTGGAAAAAGGAGGATATATATTTTTAAACAAACAAAACCACAGATATTTAAGTGCGTGGTTGATATGAAAAGGTTTGACTTGTGCAATAGATGCCTTGTACTTCCGACAAATTTTTTTTTAAAAAAGTGTACATCCGTGGAAGACTTTTGAGGGAGAGCAAGTCTCCTCCAGAATATATGACATAGAAGTAGACCGAGAGCAAAAGAAGCTCCTCTCTGTTTCATGTTCAGTTTTTTATTCCTCTGCATTCCATTGTTCAATCTTAATGCTTGATAAATTGTGCAGCTAAAGTTTGTGAGTGTGCATAGGTTGAAATCAATATTCCAACAATTTTATGCTGCACGATCTGCTGGACGGCTAAAATTGAAGTCCCGCATCAAATTGGGAGAAAAACGACGTACATACATGATATTAATGCATTGTCTGCAGTATAAGTAAAAAATTTCGGATAAAAATAATCTTGTCAGTTGCATACGTTCCTACAAAGTTCCAACGTCTCTAGCAATTAGAGTGCACAAGCCCATCTAAATATGTACATTGAAGACAACACGTAGTGGGGTTTCAATGTGCAAAAGGTTCGGGAGAGAAACCTATTTCTTCTACAAGAACGACTCACCTACCATCGCCCAATGCACATATATTGATTTCTCTTGTGTTTGGTATCATAAGTCTGTTGTAAAAAATATGGTTTTTCTCTTTCCGTAAAGCCAAATACAAAAATCTTTATATTATAAATAACATCTTAAGTTTACATTAGGTCATATTTACTTTTCTATATATGTAGCTGGTTAAATCTTGAATTGGCTTGTCCTTCTCACTGTTCTCATTTTTATCCCATTCAAACTAATCTCTAGCAGGTCAAATGTGGATTTCTCAAGTCAAATGGGACAACGTAAGAAACACATATAATGAATTAATTGCCGGCCGGGCCGGGTCTATTCTTCTACTGAGCATTTGCGCGTGGACTGGCTGTGTCAAATTTTCTTGGATTTTAACGTATAGCTTACAGGAAAAGAAGAATAGTCAACGTTTGGCTCCTTCGTGCTGACAGGCCCAAATGTGTGGAGTTTTCAATGGAATGGAGAAGACAAAGTCAGAAAATCATAATATAAATAGGCTATGCCTTTGTGCTCCTTTACAACGAAAGAAAATATTAAAAGCTTTGAAGAACATCAAATTTTATCTTTCTTCTTCATGATGGGGTATTTTATGCTTTTGGAATTGGTGGGAACTTTGATGGAATCGCAGAAACTTTTCTTCAGAAATGTTAAGCTCATGTCTTGCATCTTCCTGCTCATAATTTCTACTAGCTCTATCCTCTTTTTGAGTAATATGCTGTCCATTAAACCATCAATCACTGATTTTACCCTCAAGGCAAACCTTCTAGCTATGAACATCGGCACCCCTGAATTCGCAAACCTTCTGAATACTATGAAAGGCGACCTCCGATTATTTGTTGCACTAGAGTGGATTTTTGTTTTCGTATTCTGTTTTTTCTCTTTGTTCTTTGCAACAGCTTCAATCTTAGCATCGGCAGTAACATATTGTGGAAAAGAGATGTCTATCAAGGAACTTCTATCAAGGGCCGTGAAATCATTGAAAAGACCGTTTCTTACTTGGTTTTACATAACCCTTCTTCATCTGGGCTATTGTCTATTTCTCATAACCTTTCTGTTTCCTTTGGCGGTGATTTTTGATCTTACGTTCACTACGCCTTCTTTATTATCTATAATCATATTCCTCCTAGCTCTGGTTTTCGAAGCTTATCTAGCTGTTGTTTGGAATTTAGCACTCGTTGTTTCAGTACTCGAGGAAATGTGTGGAATTGAGGCACTTGGGAAGGCTGGACAGCTCATCAAAGGACTGAAGATGCGCGGATTTTTCCTAAATCTTTTGTTTGCTGCACTCTCTCTTCCTGTGTTTTATGGTGTGCACAAGTTTGGCAAAACAGTCATGTCATCAAATGCTGCCATGATTCCATTGCTCCTCCTGAATTCGATATCCTGCCTGATCGGAATGTTTAAGCTCATGGCATACACAGTCCTCTATCACGATTGCAAGGCGACTCATGGAGAAGAACTTGAAATGCAAGGAGGCACTGAATATACTAAAGTGGCCTTTACCCCACTTGTCAGTGCAGATTTACCATGATTAAGGATGTCTGTATTTCTGATATTTTACAGTATTTTGCTTGTTTTGTAACCATATTTTCTGCAGCTCCGGCTAGTTTTTATGCATAACATAAATAAAAAAAGAGTTGAAACCATCAAAATAGTGCCTTCTCTTCACATACAGGGTTTTAAATGAGAATCTGCTGAGGCTTGGATAGAAGCATTAAATACAATCTCCAGATGAACCGTCTTGTATCAACCATGTTTTCTATATGCGATAAACTGAGAACAACAAGGTAATTAGAACAAGAGAATCCGTTCCTTCGAAATCTGATGCAATGCTTTTTTGTCTTCTGAAAACAAGTGCAGCAAAGGCTAAAACAAGAGCATCCATTTTTTTAACTTCTAAGCTGGCCATGTAGAGCCTAAAGCATGGACTTGAGGCAATTACGGCCTAAAGCTAACACCGCAGGTTTCAACCTCGATTGCGCATTGACAATTAGTCATACAAAATGGATTCACTAATTCTTCATATGAGCATTCTGTCTATTACAGAGGGGAATAAGGTATTTGTAATATTTCTTCTTTCTGTTGAAAATGGATTTGTATTGTCCTATTTTCTTGGCATAGTAAGCAACATATTAATTGAATTTTTATGGCCAACAAACTATCCATATACTGAGAAGGAAATTTTGTCGAGTACACTTTGTACAGGAGTCTTGTTTGGAGCATAAGATAGGTGACGACGACCACAAGGTTTGACAATGTCAACGGCTTTGGATTTTTTGAGATGAAACATGAAGGCACAAAGGCTCAATTTTTTTTTGTCTTTTCTGACTGTTCAGATAGTTAACGGCAGGGAAGCTCACCTAGATGAGAGGAAAAGTACCACTTGTTATGCTTTTTACCTTGGTTCAACTTTGTCTTGGATATCTAAGAACATACAACCTTAGCCTTGTCTTCATCATGGTTTATGTGATTTAAAGTATGTGGTTGTTTCTTTTGCTATATTGGAGGACATATGACTGAGGAATCTGCTAGAGGCATCAAATCATCCACAAGAACAGTGACCACGGACGAAAAATCTGCAAGTAATTTCGCAAAGAAAACAGTAGAACATGAGATAAGAATCAACCATATATCTATAAAGTTTCCTTTTCTTAGGGACCATGTGAAGCAAAACTAAAACAGTTGAATTAGTGTATTGTCACACCGGTCATAGAGCAACTAGCTAACATCTCCACTAAGCCAGTTTATGAGAAATGCCTTGGCATAAAAGCGTTTTGATTTGAAAGGCCATTTTTGAAGAATAAAACAAATCGAAGCCTTTGATGATTGTGAATATATTATCATTCTTTGTTAACATTCTTCATGTAGTCCCCTATATAAAGCTGCCAAACCATTCTGCTTTGCATAATTCAACCTTCTCTGTTCCTTCCTTTCATTTTGTCTTTGAGAAGTATGATAGAAGTGATTTAGTTTCTAAACTTGACGCGAACGTATAATGGAAGAAAATATTGAAGGTTTGAATTTGAAGATTACAGATCTTCTATTGCTAATGTGCTATTGGATATTGTGGGAATTGTAAGTGATGTCCAGAAACTTCTTTCCAGAAATTTCAAACTCATGCCATCAATCACGCTACTCACAACTTTTCTTAATTCTATCCTCACGATCTTTTACAAAATCTGCATCAAAGTAGCGCTCAATGATTTGTCCTCCAAGGCAAACTTCCTACAAGTTAATAGTCCCAATAGTCCCACTAGCGGAGAAAAGACTTATTGACCAAGGAACTTGATCTAGGCTTCTGTCTTCTGTCTTCTGTCTTTTGAAAAAGGCACAAATTTTCAGGTGTCAATTCATATTTATAATTAATTATAATAGAAGCTTGTGGTCCTCCCTTACCAAAAAGACCTGCCAAAGGAACCAATATACATGTTAGATGCCAACTGATAAAACATGATGAGCTCGGTTGATCTTTCAACATATCTTGGAAGAGGTTATTCCTCACCTCATTTTGTTGCTCTTCAAGTTCCTCCAACCTTCTGCCATAAAATTACAGTTCAAGTGCCATCTAGAATGCTGAAGAAAATGCCAACTGCAACTGGAAAATAATCCAGATAAATGCTTGAAACCAACAAGGTATAAAGAACAATCACCACTTAATGACACGACATTACTTCATGGAAAGTTCAATGCTATAGACTTTTTTTTTTGGTGAAGAAATGCTACAGACTTTAAATCCCGAAACAAACCACAAAAATAATAGTGGCTGCCCTAGCTCCCCCCTTGCCATGGCTAAGGGCAAATGGGTGGAGTTGCTCTTATAGCTCTGTGTACGCATATATATGCCCAAAAAAAAAAAACCAGAAAAAGAAAAGGCAAAGAATGCATAATTGTCAAGGCAAAGATCTTAATAGCTCAGTGAATTATACCGCATCATGGTTGATGCTTAATTACAGAACAAAAAATAATCTAGAGTTAATCCACATATTCATGATCTAACTAAAGATTTCTTCGATTAAAAGAAGAATCGAATACCTACAAATGATGCTCCAAATCGCACCTAAAAGATTAAATTGAAAAAAAAAACTGTAACAATACCTAGCATCACCCACATTCATCCCCAAATTACACCCAAACAAAAAATCTTAAAATCAATACGTAGAATCTCTGCCGTGGAGGAGAACACACTGGCTCAGCATCTAAATAAACCGATCTTCTGCAAAGAAGAGAAATTCCCTACAAAGCATAAACACATCAGCATTAAAACATTCCTCCACAGATCGTCTTCTCCATCACACCTGAATCTGACATTGCACCTAAGAGAAAATACCAAACAATCACAACACCAAGGTATATACCAAATACGGACAGCAAGAGACGGGAGAGCATTGGTGCAAGCACCAGAGCAAGAACTGTAGCAAAGGCTCTAAATACACTCCGATAATAGCGCGGTAAAGCTTATGTAGGTAAGAAAAGGAAATGTAAGAGTGGTACCGTATTCAGATAGACACCGTTTCAAACCAAGGGCACGTGTTGTAAATATCTCAAATATGGTCATTCTTCTTTCTATGTTTCAATAAATAACATTTAGGGGTAAAGAATATGAAATAAAACATGCTTATCAGAATGTCCTTCCAAGTACTTTAAAAATAAATAAATAAATAAATAAGAGCAAAGGATTACAATGATGAGAGAATTACCCTCTGTTTGGATGAGAGAAAATAACTCAGAATTTAGCTGAAAGTCAGGAATTTACGAGGAGAAATTGACAATTCCCTTGTTTTGCAACTTAAGCACGAAATTTAATAAAGCGTGAAAAAAATCGTGAAAATTGGGGCATCAAATTTCCGAATTTAATTTCTGACCCCAAAAAAAAAAAAATTCCTAGTTTAATTTCCACTAAAATAGACGTCATTTCACAATTTCTATAGTGTGATTTACAAAATCCGATATACATATAAATCCAAACACTGAAATCTTCAATTGCCATAAATTGAAATGATGGAAATTTAAATTCCGTCATTTTAGAGTTCTATGTCATTTTCAATTCCTTCATCCAAACTGAGGGGTTAGCAAAAATAGAAAAATACGCCATGCATTTTAATCCCGATAGTCTTAAATGCCAAGACAATTTAGGGGGATATGGTAGATATCCAATATCCACAAATACCAGCTATCACTTGAGAGGAGGAGCCTAGACAATGGGGGTGTGTGTCGGTTCGAAATCAATACAATTTATCCAATCTGCATCTGATCCAATATAGATTGGATTGTGATTTTTCAATCCAATTAGATAACAAGTTTAAATCTAATCCAGTCCGATCGAAGTGATATTGAATTGAATTGGATTGGATTGGATAATCTGTTTTGATAATAAAGAAAGACAATTACAAAATATGAAATATCTAAGCCAATGCGGGATTACCACAGTGGTTATGGCCCTCCCCTTCCCACATGTTTGGCACCTAGGATTGAAACCCCATAATTTCTTTCCTCTCAATGCAACCAAAAAAAAAAAAAAAACATCTAACATTAGGTTGAATCTAATGAAATATATTAATAGATGTAAAATGTAAAATATAAATGAAATGCTAGAGAAAATTGTTTTTATTCTATAATATATTAAACATAACTCCATCAAATGACTTCAAAGGTTCATAAATTTTTCAATTACAAATACCTACAAGAGCAAAATAAGCATAAAATTAACTAGATTTGCTTGGATTCTCACAAGCAAATCTGTCATCCGATCTAATCATGTCACTTTTAGAAATTAGTGATCCGTTCTGATTCGCTAAATCATCGAAACCAATTAAAATTAAATTAAATTGATTTGTATATCAAGGAACTTTTATCAACGGCTGTGAAATCATTAAAAAGGCTATTTCTTACTTGGTTTTACATAACCCTGCTTCATCTGGGCTATTGTCTATTTTTTAAAGCATTTCTAGTTCCTTCCTTGCTGATTTTCAATCTTACATTCACTACGGTTGCTTTCTCTATAACCGTATTCCTTCTAGCTCTAGTTTTCCAAGCTTATCTAGCTGTTGTTTGGAACTTAGCACTTGTCGTTTCAGTACTCGAAGAAATATGTGGGATCGAGGCACTTGGGAAGGCTGAACAGCTTATCAAAGGATCAAAGCGGATTTTCCCTAAATATTTTGTTTGGAGCACTCTCTCTTTCTGTGTTCTGTGGTGTCCTTATGTCAGAAAATGCAGCCATGATTCCATTGCTCCTCTTGAATTCCATGTACTGCCTGATCGAGATGTTTAAGCTAACGACATACACAGTCCTCTATCATGAGTGCAAGGAGACTCATGGAGAAGAGCTTGAAATGCAAGAAGGCCCTAAATATACTAAAGTGGCTTTTACCCCACTTATCAGTGCAGATGCAACATGATGAAGGATGTCTGTATTTCTAATATTTTAAAGTTCTTGCTTGTATTGTAATCGTATTTTCTGCAGCTCCAGCTAATTTATATATATATAGTTAATAATTTTATTGCCTGCTAAATTCTAATAATTTACATATACAACATCTGTTATTTAGGCCTGAAACACTTTGGGGTACAAGGATAGGAATAAGTCTCCTTGGTGCTATATTGGCAAGTAAAAAATGAGTTGAAACAGCCAAAATAGCCTTCTCATCAGGCTCTTGAATGGAAGTAGTCAGTCCAGTAATTGCAATCCTTAGCATGGTTGAAGTTTTTTTCCTTATTAATTGTACCCTGCAACTTTGTTCTAACAGATGAACCTTGATGTATCAACCGTGACGGTACAAACCTATCATGAATCAACGGTGCATTTTACATACGATAAACCATGAAGCAAGGTAATTAGAACAAGAGAATATGTTCCTTTGAAATCTGATGCAATACTTTTTTGTCTTCTTAAAACAAGAGCAGCAAGGTTAAAAACAATAGCATCCATTTCTTTTGAACGTCTAAGCTGGCCTTGTATGGATTACAGGCTTGTACGGACAATTACCTCCAACAAAATGGATTCACATTCTGTCTACCTGTGGAAGAGGGTAATATGGGTGAATTTCTAATAATTCATCTTGATGTTGATGATCTGCTACAAAAGGAAATAGTGAAGAACTGTTTGCATAATTCAAGCAACCAGATTTCGATATGGCTGAAAATTGACTGGTATTGTCCTATTAGAAATGCATGAAAGAGACCTTCGGAAACATCAAGATGATCAAGATCATGGACAATAGTTTAATATTGTCAACACCCCTGTTTGCTCTGCGCAACAAACAAATCTGTAGAACATGACATAAGAATCAAACATATATATATCGACACAAAGTTTCCTCTTTTCAGGGACCATGTGAAGCAAAATTAAAACGGTTGTCAAGCCATAGAGCAAGTGGCTAACATCTCCGCTAAGCCAATTTAAAAGAAATGCTTCGGCATAAAACCATTTTCATTTGAGGGGCAACGTTCGAAAGATAAAAACAAATCAAAAGCTTTGATGATTGTGACATGTATTATTATTATTTTTGACACAGTTGTACATTGTTTTCACTATCCCCTTGTATTCACCACCATTTTATTAATTTCCTTCTTCATTACTCTCTCCTATATAAAGCTGCCAAATCATTCTGTTGTGCATCAAGTTCTGGAAATTAAATCTTCTCTGCTCCTTCCTTTTCAATGTTTCTTTGAGAGTGTGATAGAAGCGAGGGTTAGTTTTCAAACTTGACACAAACCTACAATGGTAGGAAATATTGGTTTGAAGAATATACATCTTCCATTCCTAATGGGGTTTCATATGCTTCTGGATTTTCTGAGAATGGTAAGGGACGTCTCGAAACTTTTTCCCAAAAATTTGAAGCTCATGTCTTCCGTCACACTGCTTGTAATTTTTCTTGATTCTATCCTCATGGTTTTTTTTAAAATCTGCATCAAAGTACTTTCCACCAAAGCAAAGAGTCTACAAGTTAATAATACCACCACTAGCGCCGAATTGACCAACCTTCTGTTTACTATGACAGATAACCTCCGGTTATATGCTGGACTAGCGTTTATTTTCTTTTGTGCGTTCTCTTTTATCTCGTTATTCTTCGTAACAGCTTCAATCATAGGATCTGCAGTAACATACTGCAGAAAAGACTTATCTACCGGGGAACTTCTATTACGGGCAGTGAAATCGATGAAGAGAACGGTTGTCAGTTGGTTATACATAAAGCTGCTTGATCTAGGCTATTGTCTTCTAGTAGCACTTCTGCTTCTTTTACTAGTGCTGATTTTCAATATTACATTCACTATACTGGCTTTCTCTATGATCTTATTGGTTGTAGCTCTATTTTTCCGAACTTATCTTGATGTTGTCTGGAGTTTAGCCCTCGTTGTTTCGGTACTGGAAGACATATGTGGCATTGAGGCTCTTGGAAAAGCTGCACGCCTTGTCAAGGGATCAAAGCTACGTGGGTTTTTTCTGAATCTTTTTGTAGCATTCTCTATGTCTATGTTCAATGGTTTGGTGACGATTGGGACTGTAGCCTTTCCAGAGAATGCAAGAATGGTTCCAACTCTCTTCTCATATTCTATAGCCTGCCTGATCACCATGTTTTTATGCATGTCATACACAGTCCTTTACTATGAGTGCAAGAAGACTCATGGAGAAGAGGTTGAAAGGAAACCAAGCACGGAATATACTAAAGTGGCCTTTACCGAGTCCACTCCACTTCTCAGTGCAGATGCACCATGATGAAGGGATGTCTGTTTTTCAATATTTTACCGTCTTTACTTGTATCGTACCCACATAATTCCCTTGAAGGAAAATATTTCCAATAATAATCAAATGGTGAAATGATTTCGGATTTGACTAATTTTTTTGTAATGGTGATTTTTGAATGATGACTTCAGAGTTCAATGGTTCGGATCATATGATAACATTATAGAGTGGGCCAAACAAGCAGTTAGCGTCATATTAACTTACTAACCGGCTAGCGCTTAAGGGTTTTCGTATATATATATAGTAAGTAATTTCAGATATATACCATATATATGTTGTTTAGGCCTGTAAAAGTTTTAGATGCAACCTAGGCTCCAATTGGCACTCATTGGTGACTAGAGTAAAGGCATGAGAATATACGTTGAGGCTTGACGAAGTACTCTCTGCAACTCTTGTATATGATGAACTATCATGTACCATGCCGATACAAACATATAATTCAATTAACCTTTGTGGACGGCGAAGGGTTTTTGCAACATTGGAAAGTGAAAACTAATGTTATGGGATATTTTACCGTCATACCTGATGTTCCATCACGTGTGATGCATCATGGCTGTCTAGCCCTCCCTCTGTAGTCTGACTTTCCATCACCTGTCGAAATCGACTTCGAGTTTATATCTGGATGTTCGCGCTTTTAACCGGGTAAAAGCAACGGTGGTTGACACAGTTGGTCAATGTTTCCCGTTAAAAATTGGTTCTGTCCGATGGGCTTTTGGGCCTTGGACATACCATTGTTGGGTTGTAGGCATCCAAGCTGGCTTTGACAGTTGGGCTTTTAGTCAACTGACCATGAAATTGGCTCAACCTTGCACTCCAATTTAAAAGTTTTTCTTTTTCGCACCCCAAGTTTTTATTTTGAGGGATTTTCGCACCCCAAATTTAAAAGTTTCGCAAGGAGAAAGTTAAAGGGGTAAAAGTGAAAATTACAATTTAAAAAAATTTAAAATTGTGAATATAAATTTTCTTTTTTGATCAAATTGTGAATATCTAAACCGAAATCGGTAGAGAAGAAAAGAACACGTAAGAAAGAGCTGAAGATGTCGTCCACATCTCTGCTACCTATCAATGGAGGCCACCTTCTCTTCACTCAAGGCTCATCCTTTCCCAATTACCATCCTTCTGCAACTCTCTACAAGTAAGTCCCATCCTCTATCTTCCCAAGGCATTTCTCTTTTCACTCCAATTCTCAGATTTTCTTCACCTCTCTGCTCTCTGCCGGGTGATTTCTTGTAAAAGAAAATATTAAACTTTTTTGTTTTAAGGATTAAACGCACCAACCCATTTCTATATTTGCTCTAGTATGTTGAATAATCTTCTCGTTTCTTAATTTCTATTCACTTTATGTTTGGCTGTTGAGAAAATGAAAAAACGAAAGAGAAGAACTTTAATCTGTGTGGAGCTTGCAATCCTTAATCTCAAATACCCATTTTACCATTTACGGCTAGCACGTAGATTTATATATTATTTGGTGATTTTTTTTGCTACTGGATAATGTTTCTTTTTCTTCTACTTGTTTGCTGAAGAAATCGTTGGGAAAAGAACATAAAGAAAATGAAAATTTAAACTTTCATCAACCGCATATTCGGGTGTCAAAGAGCTTAACCATATAAAGAAAACAGACAATCTGTCTTCCTTTTCTTTTTTCATGACATCAAACAATGGTTGTTTTTTTTTTCTGTTTAAGGATTTTTTTATTAGTCCCAGATTGTACTATCTTTTCCTGTGATTTAAGTTTATCACATTTAGAAAAATTGGGCGGACTTGCAAGAGTGTGGTGTTTAGTGCAAATGCATTAATCCGAGTGTTTGAGTGGGTTTCTGAGTTTAATAGTAGTGCACTTTAGAGATGCATTAATCCAAGTGTTTTCCTGTGTTTACAGCCTTCTTTGTTAACAGTAATATGAGAAAGAGAGAGAAGGAGAGGGAGTGATAACGAGGGAGGGAGGAGTTAGCATGAAGTTGAAAGATTACACTTTGCAGGCTCTTTTGGTTCTTTTGGGGGAGTTTTTGAATCTTTTTTTAGCATTTTTAGTGGTGAAA